AACGTCTATTAAATTTAATCAAGAAACGTTAGATGAATGGAATGAACAAATATCCAATCTAAGTTTGACTAAATTATACAGTTTTATAGCTGAAGTATTGATAATTTTTGATTGATATGTGTAAACAACATTATGTTATTAGTAGGGGAGGGAGGCTTGGGAGAGTTGGGCCACTTTTTACATTTTGATTTATTGTGCCCCTTCTATTCATGCTGGAATACCGTTTCCTGCTGTTGTGATATGTACATAACATAGAATCTATATTAGCTGATTCCGAATACAGGCAAACCTGTAGAAAGAGGGGGTCATTTTCAAAAGTCGTAATTTTGGCCCAACTCTTCCTGGGCTTGGGCCACAAAAGGGAGACTTGGGACAGAAGTGTAACAACTAGCCAGTGACAACTAACAACTACAGTGAGAAATGCGAACAATTTAATTTGAAACTTTTAATAATGAATTTGAAACTATTACAAACTGTTTCAGCTCAGTACACATACGTTCAAATACGATTAAAGGTAATTTCAAATGGTGAACAAGGCAGTCACATCTCTCGAGCCGCTGTAGTGTATCAGCATTGTTCAGCCAGCCCAACAGCAGCTTTAAATCAGAATAACGGCATCTCCAACATAACAACTACATATTAAAATCATGATCCACTAGCACTCCACTAGAAAAATACTATCGACTTTGATCAGCAAAATATTCTAGTTTTAACTGTTTTAATGATGCCACTCTGATTGACTGGTCATATATCAAATTCCCAAACAAAATAACACTGTGTATTAGCACATTGTAAAAAAATAACTGTGATATTAATACCCTGCAGAGCCCAACCGCCATTAAACCTCAATGAAAATTCGACCAACCTGTCAGATCACTACATTGGCATAGTAATAACCATTTCATATGTTTGTTTGCATATAGACCCACACTGACCCACTTTTTTGGGGCAGGGCCTATATGTCCCAATGGGCGAATATAGAAAAATATGCATATTATAGTTTTGTATCATATTCAACCAAAAATGACTGGAACAGACAAATATAAGTTTGAAAGCTCATATAAACTTATTTGTTTTTAAAATAAAAAATACAGAACAACTTTTTGTCATTTAATGAATTTCGGCCAAAAGTCACAATGGCATTCATGCCAGCGAGTCAGCTTACATTTAAATTCGTAGTTTACAGTCAAATAAACATTTTGGCCAAAAGTCACAATGACATTCATACCAGCCAGTCAGCTTACATTCAAATTCATAGTTTACAGTCAAAAAAACATGGAATTGGATCATGGTTTGTGATAAGCACGGAAGCAGTTACGGTTTTCATTGAAACACAATGGCAGACCACATTTCTCGTATGTAGTGTCAGTCTTGTTGGTTTTGCCCACACTACACCGGCCACGTTTTTCAACTTTCAATGGCCAATGAGCCACTTCATCAACCCGAACATCATGGGCTGGCTGTTTACGTTTTGGTTGACGTTGTAGTGGTGGTGGCGGCGTTGCCGGTGGTGCTACCATTGGAGTTGATGGTCTGCCAGACAGTCTTTTGGGTACATTAACCTCAATCAGTGTCTGTGCAACGATGGCCTGAAATGTGCTATGGTTTGTTATGGTTTTGGGATTGATACCAACCATGGCACAGTCGCGACGGTGTTTCAACCAAGCATTTATAAGGCCGAGGGTGATAGTATGCCAGAACAGATACATATACCATCGACGTGATATAATACGGTATTTATAGCGTGCCACACAGGAGTCCATAAGATCGACACCCCCCATGTTGGAATTGTACTGCCTGATTACAGATGGTCTGTCAACCTCTCCTCATAGTCCTTTTTACCTTTGTTCCAACGACGTGCCTTGTCAAGTGGTTCGATGCCAGCACATGTGGACAACATTGTCACCACTTTTGTGTCCAGCCATCTGACACATACAATGTCTGATTCACGTTCAACTCTGTAATCATATGCTCCTCTGCCACAACGTTTGGTGAGTTGCTTCTCAGTTTCTAATTTACATCCTGCAAGTCTACTTGCACGGAGTTCCTGTATACTGAAAGCCATCCTCTTTCATTTTCTTCACGAGAGCAACAGAGGTGAAGAAGTTGTCAGCATAGGCCTTGTAATTTTTGTGTTTAGGAAGTGTTTCACACAACTTGACAATAACATCACCACCTATGCCAAGGTTGCTGTGTGCCTTTGTAGTCTTTTCACGTGATTTGCCCTGATATACATCCAAGTCATAAATGAGTCCACTATTGCCTCAACGAGCCCATATTTTGATGCCCCATGGGTTAGGCTTGCCTCTGATGTATTGCTTTATGGAGCTGTATTTCCCTTTGAACGGTACCATCATTTCATCAATTGCATTGATTTCCTCAGAAACTAGCAGTAGGCACTGTTGACGGAACAAGTCCAACCATGGGCGGATTTTCCATAGTTTGTCCAGCTTGGTTTCGTCATCTGCAGCAAAGTTGTCAACAAAGTGGATTGAACGGACTAGTAACTGAAAGCGATTCCTGCTCATTACATCTGCTACTGGCCCATAGCGTGTTGCAGTTTCCCAGTATACTCTTCATCCAGGCATTTCCACGATTCCCATACGGAAATACATTCCCAGCACCTGTTAAATTTCCTTTGCATTGGTATTGACACATTTTCCAGATATCTGTACACTATATATGTTGGTATATTCTACTAGCAATTCAATCATCTCGGGTGTTATGAATTGGCGGAAATATGTGTATGGTGTTTGAGTACCGACAGGTGGTAGAGGCACAGGTTCACCTGTACATTCTAGGTCTGGTGGAGTAAATATTTTTTATGCCAGGAATATTGGTTATTTTTTTACCCTTCACAGTGGTGCCTGTGCTACTAGTGCTGGCCAAATTAGCTAGAGGTTCATTGTCCGAATCATTGAAGCTACCATCACTATCATCGCTGGCACCATTATCATCACTATCATCAGGTTCACTAACATCAGCATTGCGATCTATCACATCATCTTCTACGTCATCATCGCTCGAATCATCATCACCGAACTCGCTGATATTGCCATCTATTGCTTCTAGTATATCAGCAACAGTAAAGTTTTTCTTTGGGCGAGACATGTGGGCGCTAAAAATAAATATAATAATGAGAAAGATAAGCATTATAGAATGGTAAGTATAAGATAAACAGCCGTAAGGTAAGTAGCACAATCAGTATTTGAATGGTAATTACAGACCTGTATGCAGAAATTGTGTGACTGGCTTTTTTGTTTTACACTGCTCATAACCCATGATACATAACAGGCTCCATAATAACTAAAATCATTGATATAATTTCATGGCATGCACATCTTTAAGAAATGCAAAAATGCCCATAGGGACATATGTGACCCATTATCGAAATGAGCTCAAGCATCATCAACTGAGAGACCATCAATACACTATTGTGTTCTGCATATTCTAGAGATAGTATTTAGTATATGTAACAAAAATATATGTATACTACATACCTTGTCAGAGAGATGTGGATGATGTCATCTAGTAGATGTGAAAAAATCATCTTTTCATTGGCGGCGCCATCTTGGAAATGCCATTCCACAGCAGTAGTTTATGAAAAATCCACCAGAGCCCCCTATATAGGGCATATGTGTCTCTATGGGCTTTGGTGGCACAAATTAAATTTTAATCTTAAATGAGAGAGGTATGGTGGGCCCCCAAAATGTCTGGGACATATATGACCCCATGGGCTCTGCAGGGTTAAGGCACACCTTAACACTTATCCCAATCAACAATTTTACCCCGAGCTAAATATGTGTAAGATCAGTAATTCCTTAATAAAGAGTCGAGTGGAAATCCCATCGTGTGAAGTCACAAGGAAATGTAAACTTTCTTGCTCGACGAGCTGTGCCACCAAGTCGTTGAGGAGCGGGTAGCTTCTTGATGTGTTTCTTAGGAAAGGATGCATCGTCATTCTCATTAATCAAGAAGGTAGGTATTATCTGCTGACGACTGAACTCTCGTTGAAGAAAAACACCTTCACACTCGTTGCCATCAATAATGTCAACCCATGCTATATAATGCGCAATACGTGATTTGGCCGACACAAATCTTTCAACTGCAAAATCGCATTCTGTGACTTTGTAATCTAGCTCATCAATATCGCTTTCACCACTTTCCATGAGTTGCACATCTTCGGTATCACTATCCTCTGAGGAAGATACTGCTGTTGTACATTTCCTTTTGAATAATGACGTTTTAGTACTCTTTTGGACGGGGGCAGCCATATAGACTGAAGGTCCGATAGACCGAAGGTCCGATAGACCGAATATTGCAAAGGGTTAGGGTTAGGGTTAGGGTTAGGGCATATATATGGTTTATAGTGGCATCATATGATTTAATGTGGCATCGGTGGATGTGCGGCATATTCACGTTCGAATACGGCATCAGTGGATGTCCGGATGCAAAGCCTGGAGGCTAGGCGACCTATTCCGAACGTGTAGCCACTGCGTATTCGAATAAACCTTCGGTCTATCGGACCTTCGGTCTATCGGACCTTCAGTCTATAGGACTGTAACCCTTTTGGACTGGTTGACTGGACTTTCGTTTTTTTCACACACACACACACACACACACACACACACACACACACACACTCACTCACTCACATACACACAGTCCCTCTACTTTTTAGGTCTGACATCTGGTAACGTGTGGTATTTTTTAGTAGCTGAAGAATTGCAGGATTTCTTTAAACAGAACATTTAATCTGGTAATCTGGAAGTGTCCAACACACTATGAAGATAAATTTTGCAGCATACATTCTCACAAAATTTCCGTATTCTTGAAGCAAAATGGGAATTCCTGGGATGGTGTTCAGCCATCCACACTGGCCATGGGACATCCTGAGTTACTGATGTTTAAAAAATGTTCAGTTATTATAGATTTAAATACTATTTTGTTTTTGTTTTTTAGGTAAAGTCCATTGGACATACGAGGCGACGATGCTCCTCATGGACACGAGAAAGGAGCTAGACGATCTTTTCATGTCTAATACGAGCACAAACAAGCAAAACTGGAGGAAGGTGGCCGAGGAACTCGGGAAGCAGGGCCACATATACACCAGGGATGACTGCTACAACAAGTTCCGCGCAATGAAGTCAAAGTGAGTAAAATTTACAAATTAATGGCGGTATATCAAAAACAAGATTTTAATAAGTATACATGTATGTATATTCTGCCCTTTATTTTCCAATAACTCGCAGAAGAGTTAACCAGCTAGTGTTCATCTAGCATATGACGTACGTTAAAGGCTATAAGTACAAAAAAACGAATTACTACAATGTTTAGACAGACTATAAGTATAAGCCTAAAACATGCATGACTAACTAGACATGACTTGATACAATGACCAATTGACATTGTTAATATAAATTATGTGACTATAAAAGATTAGGCACTGTATTCAAAGTACATATCTCCAACTGTAATTTAATTTAACGTTGGACTAAACGACAACACGGCCTTGTCAAATAATAGTCTGTATGTGAGTCATTGTAAGGCTGTAATGTATGACTAACAGAGTTACTTCCCTTGACTCGTATGGTCAAGTACTGAGTTGATTTACCACACACATACATGGCTATTTCGTGATTCTAGGACACAAATCATTTATGCTATTAAAAGTGTATTGAAAATATATATTTTCAATATTTTTTTATCAGGTACAAGGCGATCATTGATGGAAACAGGAAGACCGGCAATGCTAGGCAGACGTGGCAGTATTTCTGCCATTTCGATAATCTCTTTGGAGGAGACCCGGCAGTAAGTCCTATCGCTGCTGTGTCCTCCATGACGCCACAGGAAGTATCTCCTGTCCAAGGCACCGATACCGCCTCGAACACCTCAAGCCCTTCAGCTGCATCAACACCTCGGCAGTCTAAAAAGCGAAGGAGAGGACCCGATTATGATGAGCCACCACTGTGGGTCCAGAGCTACCGAGACGACCAACAGAGGTTCCATGAGGAGAGGATGGAGTTGGAGAGAAGGAGAGTTGCTGCACTCGAGCGTCTTGTTGCAGTGTTGGAGAATGCATCGAATCCAAACTAAAAGACCACCCTTACTGTTGTAAATTACGGAAATTACTGTTGTTTTTATTACATATATATATATATATTCATACCCAAATGCTCAGCAGACCCTTCAATTGCCACGGCGCCTCGGGCGAGTCCTGGCACAGCGGCGGCGCTCCTTTTGTGTGTTGTGTATTGTGTATTGTGTGTTGTGTGTTGTGTGTTGTGTACTGGAATATCGCTGATAATAACACGAGATCGCGTAACCGGATACATTGCTCTAAGTGTATCTGTCCAGGGGCAACGTCGGAAATCCGGCACACCGTAGTGTTCACTTCCGCGTATTTCGATTGTTGTGATCATGATGGCGTTCGTTTGTGTTATCGCGTGCGAAAACGAGTAGCTAGTCCGTCCCTCCGAATTAAATGTATACCCTGTACGCCTCTCTATGTTTCCCTGAGAGCTTGTGAAACTTCTGAAACCTGAATGTGTAGCTGAAGCTCAGGACTTGCTTATGCGGCGTAGATGCACTTGGTTTATAAACCCGGCGTGTGTGGTCGCCGGGAAGACGTTACGCAGTCGAGTCGCCATGAATTAAACATAACTCGTTGGTATCGAGCGAACGGACGGACGGACGAGTTTTTAATGAGGGCCTTCCGACACAGTGCACACGCAGTAAGCAGTTATACATAACCCTGCCAGCACGCTCGCCATTCTCGTCGCCTCGACCATTAAAAAACTTCTCCGTATTATTTTTTTATTAAATTTTTATTGCGTGTAATCCAAATATAAATACACGTACTGAAGAGTTTTTTTCATTGCGAAAAACTCTGATAAATGCAATAGTGTTGAGCAGTTAAAATAATAACTTTTTTACTAACAACTTTTTACTAATTTTTTTCCTTTTTTCCTAATACTTTTTTATTTACTCGATGAAACGCGCTCGCGGGGTTTGTCGCGTGCACGGCTTGAGCGTGACCCGCGCAGCAACAAGGGTGAATTGTAACAAATGCTATCATTATATTCACCCATGGTGCAGACGCTCACGCTCGCGGAACAATTAGTTGTTACCTTGACCACGTGTTGCACCGCTAGCCGCAGCGCACGTCGCTAGTTCGGTGGTTAATTGCCTGGCAGGGATCACGCGCTGATGGAGACGGGATCCTGGTCGAAGAAGATGGAGGTGTCGCGTGCGAGCAAGTCGGAAGAGCTTACAGTCTACTTGATCAGCGAAGATTGGGGTAAGAGAGCGCGAGAGAGAGCGAGAGAGCGAGGCAGGAAGAGAGGAAGAGAGAGCGAGAGAGCGAGGCAGGAAGAGAGGAAGAGAGAGTGAACTTGCAGTTAAAGGTGCCTATATTAAATTATGACCTATACATGGCAATATTACTAAAAGTATGAGTCTTTGGTGATCGCGGACACGCAGCCGTGCAGTCTGCACTGCAGATCATATATGATAACATGAATATACACTGTAACGTTGGATCCGTTTCTAGATACATGTACGCAGGGTTCGACACTAACGCTAGTCCGTGAGTCCGAGACTAGTAAAAATTTCCATGCTCACTAGTCCGGCGGACTATATATTATATATAGTCTAGACTATATATATAATATAGTAGTTTTTCCCTATGGCTTTGCTATAGTTTTTTCCCCTAGTGTATGAATGACGTTGAAATGAAGTTCGTACCGGTATATATATAGAAATGATATAGATCGGGAGGGCAATCAAATTGGGCGGGAGGGAGTCCGCTTCTACCTCCTTCCCCTCCTAACCCCGCTCCTCCTCTATCACATCCAGTGCTCCACTCTACTCCAACCCTCTCCTATAGTCCCTCCTTTACCTCCACCCCCTCTCCTTCTCTATCACACCCCCACTCTTCTCCTCCACATTCTCACCCTCCTCCTCCCATCTTTCATCCAATACCTCCTTCCTCTTCCTCTACCTTCTCCCTCATCACACTTAATATTGGCAGTCCTTGACTTCGTAATCGTAACAATGTTTAGATGGCCCAAAATATATGTGGCAAAAACAGCATTCAATATCCTAACTTGTTGCAGATTTTGTGTTCCACGAACGTATGTTCGTTTATCTGGAGACAAACTTCACTGTTAATCCCCAGACGCACAAGCGATTTGTGAGTAAGTTTTCCGGATAGTATGTTGCAATAAAGAATTTTGTAATTAGTAAGATATATGTAATACAAATGCAGGACATGAAGTTTAGCTTATTTGTATATTTATATTTTTTGTCTTTGATTTGAAAAGTTGATGGTGCTGTTGGTGATTAGTCTTATTTAAGAGTTCGAAATCTGATTTAATCTGATTTATTAATTAAGATACAAAATTTCTTGAACTTGGTTACTTTGAAAGGTGTGTAGCTAGCAACTAGTTTCATTGTTGAATACATTTTTGCAGCTAAAGCAGAGTCATTGAGGGCATTGCATGAGTTGGGGTATATTCCTGAGGATCCCATGTCAGCAGCCACTTCAGTGGCAAGTGCACGTAAGTAAACTGTCTTCTGCTAAGCTTATATTAAGCAACGAACGTGGGTGAGCGATATAATACTCGACTGGCTAAATTGTATTAGTTGTGATACAAGGTGGCATATATATATATATAGTATTGTTCAACACTGTAGCTGAGCCTGCTACCTGCAAAAATAGTCGTGTCTTTGCATCTTACTGTCAATACCGATTCCACCTATACGACCTAGAAAGACTAATCGAAATATTAGTGTTCAGTTAACAAATATTTTTATGCAGAATTACTATCTTTGTGTGAATAGGTGATGAGACTCCAAGCCAGGATGATCCTCACCCCAGTGACACGATGGAAACTGAGAGTGTGGTGTCAAATCTGTAAACAGAGAGAGGTAGTGTATGATCACTTTCCTCAGCAAACAAAAGCGCTAAGCCCTATCACGGACTACACATATACACCCAACCGAGGGAGTTTACAGCGCTGCCACAGACCCCACCTCGCCACCTTGGCTCCACCCCTCCCCCCTTTCCGACCCATTGCTTGAGCTGCATCTGTTGCGTGCATCGTTTCCCGTGTTAGCGATTCCTCATTAGCCGTAAGTAATGCCTCACCGTGCTGCTCGTCTCGAAATAGCTGAGTAATTCCCCTGCGTAGTCTTGTGCTAAAGATTAAAAAATAGAGCAAATTCGTGCGAGAATTATTTGGTTTATTTAGTTAGGATTATTTGCGCCGAGTCATTGTCGCGATTCATAAATGATGTATTATCAGGGTTAGGATCCAATAAAGGGTAATCATAATAATGGACCCTTATTATTTCACACCTATTTCATTTTCTCTTATTTCCTCACTTCATTCCTTCTTTCCTGATGTTATATGCGCCGATGTGCAACGTAAGTTTGGAATTTCGCAGTTGGTTTGGATGTGCAGATGACGTTTGCGCCATTCTACACGGGTGATCACACCATTAACGAAGCTAGGGCCGTAATAGGCGCACCGCTGCCGGTGAGTAGCATATCGCACCACTCCGGCATTCTGTCACAAAATTGTTGTCTATAAATTTAACGGGCATGTGTCTTACCTCAATTACTCATTATTACATTACATCATTATCTCATCGAACCTGACTAACATACATCATGCGCGCTGATGCACACTAAACTAAACTTATAAACGAATACTGACAATACAAATAATACGCTGATGCACATTAAAACTAAACTTATGGTCAAAAATATACACAGTGTTGCAGGACTGGCTGTGTAGCGTACCACAGTGCTTCTTAAACGGGTGAATGGTTCTCCCAAGGGTGAATGAAATTATGTTAGGGTGAATGAAACTAGACCAAAAACATAAGGAAATTTAGTTGCGGGTGAATGACATTTTGTGATAGTCTCGAGGGTGAATGACAATAAATAGGGTAAGAATTATTTTCTTCCTCTTCCTCCACTCCTGTCTGGTGCATACTTCAATCATAGTGCTGTTGCAGATGCTACGTGTCTGTGTGTTTTGCTTGTATCTATCCTGTATCTATGTGTAACCGTTGTATCTCTTTTGTATCTTTATGTATCTATTGTATCTCTATTGTGTCTGTATATATTGCTTCCATCTCCATTGCATAAATAGGCGTGTTCACACACAAGAAAAACCGCGATGCTCATCCCGCTAATAGCGGAGATAATAGTGAGATAATTGTGTCGTTGTTCACACAGGCGGAAATATCTTGCTAATCGCCGAGCGGGATAACACGCCGCGGTGCAAATAATCGCGCTAATTCCAAATAGCGCAGTCGGAAGTGCGATTTGGAGCGCGCTATTTGGAGCGCGATTTAGTGAGATATTTGCGTTCACACTTGTAAAAATCTCGTATAAGTTTTATCTTACACGTATTGTATGTGTTGCATGTGCATCATTTCTATACTGTGTCTACGTGTATCGCTCGTCGAATTGCTTCCGAATGGCTTCACATTACTTACAGCCTCGTGCGCATCTCTTTCAGAGAACTGTAAGTCGTGTGTGTGCGGGGGAGCAGCCGGGAAGTGTGATCGAACCTCGGTCACAAGCACCAGAAGACAACTGCGAGGATTTCATCGATTTAGATTGGTCAACCGACGAGATCGGTGACAGCCATGCGGCCATATATCACAAAGGTAGATACGGATGTAGATCTAGATGAATGGACAGATACGTGCATGGACGATGCGTGCTTGGAGCGGAAGAGCGTTCGCCATAGGAGGTTTCAGCCCTGTGCGTCTCTTCGTGTCTGCAACAGGTGTCGATAGAGAGCGCTGCAAGCACCGCTGCGCCAACAAGAGAACATGCGGCCACCTCTGCTGCAAGGTCGGTGTCCCCCATAGGGAGGCGCCACCGGTCAAGATGACGGCGGGCATTGTAGCGAGACACGTCAACGAAATTCGCAGCAAGCGAGGTGCCAGTCCAGAGAAGAAGCCGGCCAAGTGCTCAAAGGTCTGAGCTAGGATGGTTGAACCGCCCTGCACACCCCCCCCCCCCTCACACACAAAACACACACACACACACACACACACACTTTCTCTCTCTC